ACCTCTCTCTTTGGATAATTCTTGACTCCAGTATTACCTGTCCCACAAAAGCTAAGCCACAAGCAGCAAACTGCTTAGCATGATAGCATGTAAGAAGAGTTGCAACTGCTGTGCTCTCCGAGTAAGGAGGTGCTGAGAGACCGTGCTCTATCACCAGCTGTTGGACACATTTATCGGTCATCACGTAATCTGTGTTGCTCCTTAAGACAGAATAATAGCTCTGTACTGTCTTTATACATAATCAGAGATGATACCCATGTGTGGCATATCATCTTCCTCCCACCCAATACACTTGTGGCTGATGGCAAAAAGTGCCAACATAACCCAGTCCCCTCCTTGCAAGGGAATGGGCTCAGCAGAAGAGCCAGACCTCTTGGTGCTTCGTCTGACACCTGAGCTGGCTGTCATCCCCCGTGTAGCAAAGCATCACAGCTTCTGATTCTTGGGCTTTAATTTTACCTTGCCCATTTGGAGGCACTGTCCTACTTGAAAGCAGCTCCAGAATCTAATGCATCAAGGATGTCACTCATATATCAGGAAAGAAGTCAAAACTTTTCAGGATTAAACCATTCCAGTTAAGTTTAATTTCCCTCACCTTCCTTAACTTTTGGTTGTCCTGTCTTCAGGTCAGTTAGCTCAAAATACTCCAAGTCTATAAAAGACTTTTGCTGTGTTTCTGTAACTTCACAAAAACAGTAGATGAACCAATGGCAAATTTGACTTATCCAAAATTTGTCTAATCCATTGCTTTAACTCTTCTGTGGTGTAGTACTGGGCTGCGGTTATTAGATAACAATAGCTGGAAGCTAGGTTGTAAAATTCAATATTATGTTGTTAAAATGTTGAATATCTGCAATATAAAGGAATTCTTGAAGAAAGTGATCACATGTAGATTAGATGATCTGCCAGTCAGGTAACTACCAGCAACTGGAAATCAGCTATGGTTAGACCACTCACTGAGCCTCATGGGTGTTCCATGCACTACTCCACAGCAGCTGAGAGACTGACCTATGGATGAAGGCCTGTTCTTCACAGCAGGGAAGGGTTATCTGTCTGGTGCTTTTGCAGCTCCTTTCCTTTTTGGTGTCCTCTAAAAAAGGCATTTAAAACAAGGTTAACAACACCCTGTATTGACAGACACAGAATTCAAACCACTCAAAAAATTATGAGAATGATCAGAAGACAAGGTGTTATTTTCTTTTGCTTTCTGTAACAGAAACAGTCTGTAGCGTAATATACTTGGTCTCCATTTACACTTCCCATATTTTTGCAGTTTATTTTTATTACAATTAAAAAGTTCTTACCATTGGAGATATTCCATCTCAACTAACCACCTGCTATCTAGTAATTCTTCTTATTTTCCTAAACAAACTAGATGTGAAAGGCTGGTCACTTTATACGTTCTATTACTGTTACAAATCACTCAAGCAAAATATAATCCTATTCAGGAGGGATCAGGCTTAGTCTTGAAAATTAGGAAAAATTAATTTCATTACACTTTAAGTTAAAAAATAGCTGCTGAATCTGATACTATTTCTTAAAATGAAATCCGTGAAAGTCCCAGATTATTTTGTTCTATGCACCATCCTTTCTTCTATTCTCCCTTCCCTCCAGTTCAACAAAATACTGGTGTTTACTCTCATAAGGAAAGATGCTGGCAAAGAGCACAGAGCTTCAGAAGCAAGGCAGCGGCTCAGACTCATTTTTGTGCTATACAGCTACAATAAATCTGAATAATAAAAAACATAATAAACCCATAAGTATACATACAATTGTAGTTGCTCCATATCATCCTTCTCTCTGCACTCAGTAGATCTGTCTTGTTAACAGTTATAGCCACTTCTCATTTTTCCCTGTTCTTCCACCAAGTTTCCACAGGGAGCACTGCTATGATCAAAGCAACATAAAGACTTTTGGCCTGTATGGATTGGATCCGTATTTGGGGACTCCTCTCCTGCCCTCAGTCCTCATGCATATCAAAAGGAAAAGATATTTGGCAAAATCTTCACAAACTTCACAGCTTGGTACATGCAGTGAAGAAAAAAAATGCTGTTTCCACAGCATCTGTAGACTTTTATTGTTATAGACAGGAGAATCAAGAGGCAATTATTTCCCCATTTTTAAAATCTTTTGATCACATAATTAATAAATCCAGGGGACTCTTGCAATTGTTCTCATATTCTGTTCAAATAATCCAAAAGCAAGGCACATTCATACTGTGCAAAATCTCTCCTAGCTTGTTTTGTGTAGGACTGCCATTAAGGTAATTGTCTTTCAGACTGGCTACAATCAAGATGACAAATCTTTAAAACTGCAAAAAAAGCACAGAAAGTAAAATTGAGGGTTTTTCATTTTCATCATATTAACTGGAGATTTTTTTGCTGCTCTTGCTTTGTATCCACAGTGGATATTTTTGGGGGAAGAAAATCCTGTATTTTCTTTCTCCAAGTTAAGCACATTTTAATTTAAGCCGTGTAAAAATCTACTAAGTAGCCATAATTCATAGCTACAAAAAGATACATATCCACCATATTTTACAGCAACAAGTCTATTTAGTTCATGATCATGCAAATCCTTGCTGAAGTAACTGTAAGAAATTGTGTGGTAACTTCGGGAAACAGGCTAATGTACTCTCAGCTTCTGTTTGAGCAGCATTAGGAACTGTACTGCTTTTTCTTTGACCTCAGCTGAATGGAAGTAACAAAATATTGCTGTTAAACTTTTTCAATAAATGAACTTCCCGTGCTTCCCTGCTGACTTACTACTTCATGGCAGAATAAACAGCTTCAGAGAAGGTACAAACAACTCAATAGAATTCATATCTAGTTGCATTAAGTACCACAGCCAAAAAGCTGTGAAGAGTTACATCAGCTGTCTGACATAAGTACTAAGAAAACACAGCATATGGATACTTGCACAATGAAGCAGAAATAAATTTCCATTTTGAAAGCATCATCAGGAAACAGCTTGCTGGCTAGAGGAAAGTGAAATGTTATTTTACATTTTCTTATTGCAGCAACCAGATGTATTTAGCTGCCATAATGGCAGCTATAACTGGTTACAGGACATATTTTATTGTTTTATTTGACAAAGCATCCTGAATGTTATTTAAAATGAAGGCAGCACAGAGTACTTTGCATTAAGGAAAAGACTGAGGATGTTCAGAGAATTAGGAATGAGTAGCTTTGTAAGGGCTGTTATCCAGGCTTCTGAACAGGAGTTGGACTTTACAACTTCAACATGCATGCACCAGGACCTTGCTTTAGTCCCAATTCAGAGTTTGTTTAGAAATGCTTAATAGCACCTTTGAAACTTTAATCCAGGATTTTAATCTATAACTGCATTAGCCTTACTTGAAGAAAATAACCTTTGAATGCAGCAACAAGACAGGTTTTTCCCTAGCATCCCAATAGCCATGCCTTCTTTTAAACCATGCTGAACAAACTTACCAGCCCATTCCAGCCACACAAGGTACTACAATGAAACCCCAAGCTCCCTTTTCCTTCTCTCCCCTTTTTGTTTAATCTCTGACAGCACAAACAGGTCAGTTTGTATCAGCTGTGAAGGCACTCCTATTCTGGGTGGAGTGTTGCCAGTTTCAGCTGTAACTGGGAGTGTGTGCTGCTGCTGGTCTCCCTCCTGAGCCGGCACAAGCAGCTCATTGTAGATCAGCTGGCTGGGGCTGGAGGAGTGGCACTCTCAGCTGCTCACTGCATCCAGCTGTGCTCCAGCTGCTTGAGTTATTCTGTGATCACAGCTCACACAATTCCTGAAAGGGTGACAATAAATCTACTCCATCCTGTAACGAAAGGAAGGAAAATGGACAGGTGAAATTTGACAGTGATGAAAAAGAAAGGCTCATGACACAAGCAGATACCAAATGACAATATAATAATAAAACAATTCTAATAAAACAATTCTAACAAATGACAATATAATAATAAAACAATTCTAAACAATAAAAGAATCCACTCTTGCAGTAAATATAAAAAGCAAATACTTTAATTTCACAACATTGATTTCCCTTTTTTATTATGTGTGGTCAATGTCCAGGGCCTTGCCTTTGTGTTTTTGTATTTTAGCTATTTCCTCTAGCACTTTATTGCAGAGAACATCACATAAAGTGACATTTATTGTTTCTGGCTCTCTTTACTTATATTCCTCAGATCAGCAAGGAGAAAATGAAGTTGAATCACTGGAAGAAACCCCACTGGTTAAGTTCATTCCTCTCACGGCCTTTTTTTTTTTTTTTTAAGTGGCTGTTGGTATGAACCTTAAATGTCTGTAGATGACTGCATTTCATAGTAGCTAGTGGTCCTTGATGTATGGAATATACATTTTGCACCCTGTTACACACCTGGCTTTTGGGCTGGACCAAGGAAAAAGCTGGAATTGTCCAACTATTCCAAGTGGCTGTGAATTTGCAGGTACATCCCATAGTGTACAAGGTGAGGAAAGTACTTAAGACCTCTACAGGTTGTGCTTGTGGAGGAAAGTTCAAAAGCCTTTCCTTCAGCAGGAAAGGAAACTGGAGAAATACTATTTCACTGAAAGAAATATCAACACTGGGACTGATATTTTAAGGTGCTCTGAAACTTCAACCCACATTCATTCTTATAAGAGGTCTGAATGCCCCACACTTCAGAGAGCCTGAAATGACATGGTATGATGTGGAAACCATCAGTTAAAAAGTAAAACCAAACTTTGTAGGAAGAGAGGAGGAGGAGTTCTGACTTTTTGTTCTCCTTCACTTTCTGATGTCCTCTTGGCATGATGCAATGAGGTGGCAATCCCTTTCCAGGACTTCTGCAAAGTGTATGCCCAAGTTCTCACATAGGCAAGAATAGCCATTCATTGAGAACTGGAAGGCATATAGTTAAGAACTCAGTACACACTCTGTTTTAGTAAGAAACAGAATTAAAAGTAATACAATAATGTGCTGGATATAAATGACAGCTGACAGGAAAATGAGAACAACTTTCATGTTTTTATTGCTGCCTTAGAAGCAATTGATAAACAGTACACTTCATATATAAATGAGCATGTGTCAATATATGACAACAAAAATAAATTACAGTGACATAGTATTTAACTTTACAAGGTTGTACAAAATTTCCAAATATGAATAGATTTCAACTTAAAAATTTGAAATAAGTTAAAACTTCAACTATTCTGAAGACTTAAAAATATACATACAGTTTCACTCAATCACATCATTTACAGTATGATTTTTTAAGCTGTTTATTCTTATACACCCATATATTTTTGACTGTATTAGTGGAATATATCCTGCTATATGCAGCTTTGCTGCAGTGGGATAAAGGGGTTCCCTGAGGGTAAGAACAGGCTTTGAGTGTTTATATTTTAAATAATTTGATTACATATATCAGCTAGAAATATAAACCCAAAGTGTTATTTATCTGTCCTATAATGAGAGACTGATTTATCTGCTCTTTCTAGAATTTCCATTGATGCTAATGAAAATTTGGAAGAGAGCTTAACAGCGGGATTGAACTAAACTAAGTTTGTTTAGCCAGGATGAATTAGGTCAAATCATTTAATGAAATATTTGAAGAATATCTGTTTAGAATGAGATGTCATTATAGACTCCATAGCTAGCCCTGGCTATGCACCGGCATATTTGCCTCCTCAATTAATAGGAAAATGTATTTGATATGGTACTTTTATGTAACGGGATGGATTATGGATTGGCATTTTTAACACTTCAATTATATGCACATGGTTACTTTATTAATATTATGAAGATTAAAAACATTTCCCAAAACTCCTTGGCTATTGAGTATGTGACAATTGAGAATTCCAAGGGTCTAATTCAAGCTGTAAAATAAGGTAAGATGGAAGAAATTCATACTGTGGCTGGATCACTCCTGATAACTTAAACTAAGGCTGGTGGAAACTGACTCTGTGCACCAACAAAAAGGCAAAGGCTTGTCAATTCAGAAACCATTAGTAAGAAAACAGATAAAGGAAGAAATTTTAACAAACTGGCACATGTGACAAAGTTGCTCATCTGTCAAATACACAGGAAGACACTTGCGCAGAGGTGGGTCTTAAACTGACTGCAATTAATTTGGTAAGAAATAAAAAAGAAATCCAAGATGTCTATTTGTGAGACTGAATTTTCTCTTCTCTGAATATGTTAAAATACCTATCAGAATGCTGCACCAGTAATCCACAATCTTTCCTCCAAACAAATAAATGTTCTGTGTACATCATTTAAATGAGAAAGGAAGAAAAGGAGTCATAAACAGGCCAGAGCTGTGCAATTCCCCATTTCCATTTTTCTCTAATGTTATTGGTAATAAAGACCACTGCAGTCTACAATTCAGCTGAAAATTATTTTAGAAGCCACTGTTTTTGTTGTTTGAATATGCTGTCATTGGGCAGCAGGAAGGAGGAAGGGAACTGGAAGGAGATACACATACATACATACATACAGATATATATGTGTATACACACACACACACACACACACACACATATATGTATGAAAATGGATGGCTGGGGGTGGTTTGCTCTGTTTGCTCTATGTTTTCTAAGAGAATTTATTTGCAGACTCATCCCAGGGAGTGCAAGGTGCGGGCACACAAGTGAAGGTATGTTATGCTGAAGGGAGGCCACACAGTCCAGCCCAACACTATGGTGCAGGGGCCTGGCTGCCTCCTGCTTTTCTGGGGAAAAATGTTCATTTCAGAAGCACAGAGGGAACCTTTCCCTCTGGAAAAGCCAGCTGGAGCTGGTCTTGGATCAACCCCCAGAAAAGGCTGTTTTTCACCGTCGCTAGGAGAGCACAGAGCAATATCACTGAGCAACAGACTGGGTCATTAAGTGAATTAATAGCAGTCAAAGAATATTGTAGTATATGACTGGAATCAACATTTCCTTCTACAAATCCACACCTAAGGGGAGTCCTCCCACACTGAAAGGAAGGACAGTTTCCCTGAAGGAAAGCATCTACATCATGAAGACTTCAAAATGCTTTCTAGATTGTTTGCCTCTCTTGTAACTTGTAATCTCAAATTACTTCAATCAAAACAATTACATTTCTCTTAATTGATTGTTCTGTGTTCTGCCCCTGTTTTGGCTCCTGAGAGGAAAAAATAACATGGAAATATATCTCAAAAGTTCAACCAACATCTAGCAGTTATGTAAACCTTACCTCACCGACTGCTTGGCACACAGTGTATTACTGTACAATCAGATATGTCTTTTACATCCTATAATTTGTTTTTATCTTAACTAGCAAGCCACTTTATGAGCAGCAACTAAAGGAATGAGTTTATCTTCTTATATTAATGCAATTGTTATCAGGGGCATACAGGGTAAAAATAATTTGTAGATTAGAGTAATGTATTTGCAAGGAAATTTCCACACGGGAAGGTGCCACCTGATTAGTTTTCTGTGGAGAGTTAAAAAAAAAAGAAAAAGAAAAAAAAAAAAGAAAAAAAAAGGTGTTAAAGCATCTTGGCAGGAGAAAATCTCTTAAGAGCACAATGTTCCACCGTGATAGTTCAGTGGGAGCCAAGTTTTGACAACACATTTTGGGCTGATACCCATGCAGTGAAAGGAGAAATGTGAGCTCTCGTGGGACACTTGACCTGGACTGATGCATTGATTTTTCTACCAACACGCATCCATCCACCTTCTGCCCTCAGGACTGCAATGGTGGCAGTCATGCCAGAGAGGAGAATAAAGCATTTGAGTCTCTCTCAGTACATCTTCTCTTTTATCAGATGCAAAAGGGAAAGCTCCTCTACAACACTGAAGCCAAGGAAAACGATTGCTCTTCATCGCTATCTGCCTGTACTCTTCCAATTACTGTGCTAGTGTTTTGCAAACTGCTGTCAATATGAGCTAGGGCCAATTATTCTTTCTGAGTGTTTACCAAGACATAGAATTTAATTACACGGCAGAAAAATTGCTGCACAGTAAGGTAGGTGTAGCAAAAAAAGATCAACTTGGCCAATAATTTAAAAAATGCTAATGTTCTGTCTAGTCCCAGAATGGGTAGCTATGACTAGATCAATAGACACCAGATTTTGAGTGAATGCTCAAGCACTGTCTTTTTACACAGCAGAAGTTGAGGGGTTCTTTCCAACTGTTTCCTTTTGTTTTATGAATTTACAGTACATTCAGCTCTACTGGTTTTGATCAAGAAAATCAGTTTTATAAGGCATAAAATTCCAAATTCTTTTTAATGACGTCTATTTCTGAGACAAGTACTGCATGAAATTTCTTCATATATTTCAAAATCTGAATGCAACAGGGAAAAAGTCAATTTATTTAAAATTGTCAAGCCATAAAACTATGTATTCAGATATTGTCTCTGGGCCTTGTTTTGCTCCATAACCAGCAGAACAGAAAGCTTTCAAGTAATAGGAACATATCAGGAAACACATAAAATATGTTCATCAGATTCCTGCAATGTTATCTCTATTTCTATCACAAAAATACCCGCTATCTCCAAATAGAAGCAGGAAGCTTATGGCTCTTTCTTGTAACAGCTTGACTGGTGTGGCCCACACCCTTCCTGCTGGGGGGTGGCAGGGGCAGGAGTTCAGCTTCAACTTCCTGTGAGGCAAAAGTCCCATGACTGCTGGTCAGCTTTGAGGCAGGAGGAATTGAGTTAAGAGGCACCTGGGTGATGGGACATGTCTAGAAACCCAGGGATTATTCATATTAAAAATATGACATCTTCACTGACATCTTCTAACACCTACAGCTTACAACTGAAAAACTTCACATTATATTTATAATTTTCTTACTTCTTTTGGAAAGCAGTAAATTGTAATTCAGGCTTTTTACAGCTTTGACTAAGAGCTCTTGTGTGCACTTGGTACATGGACTTCCATGATCCATCCTTATGCATCTTCCTTTTGAGAGCAGCTGTCCATCCTTAGTCTTTATATTTCTCTAATGATGGATTCTGTGTCAGTCAATACACATTGCAAAGACTAAAACCCAACATCAAACAAAACCAAAAGTGGCACCTGTGCACATTAGTTTAAGTCTCTTGGCATTTTTCAAGCTGATCCTTCCTGTCTCACAGCAGGAGAAATATGCAACTACGTAATGTAGCTGCACTGATTTGAAAACAAGTGAAAGGACCTGAAAGGACCTTCCATCATATTTGGTGAAGGGCGGGGGCAGAGAAGGAGATAAATCCTGTTCTATCCTTCACACAGAGGATTTTGTTCAGATTATCCTATGGCCAAGAAATCACATTCATTTTGAATAAAGGAACAAAAGTTTCACTCAGATATACTTCTACAGCCTGAAGCATGGAAAATTTTGGTCCTAATATCACTTGTAAAAAAACCATCATTAATGGCAATATGAGGCAAGCAAATGGAATATATTTCTGGATCAGAAAAATGCATGCCATTGGAGGATAAAAGCTGCCTAACTCCAGCTATATCTGATTCCATATAGCTTTGCAGATGCAAAGAAATGACATATTTATATATTGATGGCAGAGGGTATTCAATAGGTATATTCAATAAATCTATGTGATAGGTATTTCAATAGGAGGGGAGTGATCTCTGTGAAGGATAGAAGTAATGAGTGGAGAAAAGTACTGAGCATGAGGAAATACAGCACAGGCCTTGTGATGTATCTGCATAAGCAGAGTGCAGCACTGTGTAGGGTTCAAAGTAAATTGGCTCATTCCTTTTGCCCCATGGTGTTATTTAGTCTGTGCCACAATGGTAATTATAATTCTTAATGTGGACACATTAAGCACAAATTAAGGAAGGCTATTTGGCAATTTCCTCCTCCCTTTGGCATCTCTAGAGCAGGTAGTATTTCAGGAGTGACTGCAGTTGCTTTGTTACCCAAATATTTCAATACTGAAGAAAAATAGGCTCAAGGAGACTGGATGTTTTGAAACTACATAAGGAATCAGATTATTGTCCAGAGACTTTACATAATAGTGAAAAAATTTTCAGATCTTTTGAGTATTTTCAGTAAATTAACTATACCTGTATGAATTAATTGAAAAATAAATTTAAGTTCTGCTAGCACAATAATATCCTGTGCTTCTCTGACTGTTAGGCATGGTTGAGTGATGAATACCAGCTCATTTCCAGAGTGATTTCATTCCAGAAAGTGAAAAGTTATTTAACTTTAGTCCAGGAGCGAGAAAGAATCTCCCATAAAATTCCTGGAAAATGCATATGCACCCAGACAAACAAGCCCTGCTTACATATTAAGGGCTTATTATTTAGTCCTAGAGTGCTATAATAAGGATCTCTTCAAGGAGGCCTGAGTGGGGTGTCAGGGTGCTCTGCCAACAGTGTGGCTGATGGTGATGTGTGCTGTTGGCTCACAGAGTCATTCATACACTGAACTTTTTTGGGCACTGTTTATATGTTTATTCACCCTTATGCAAGGAGGATGTGCACATCCATAAAGCCTTTAAATGTCTTGGGGTTTTTTCCACAGTTTCTGCCAAGTTACATAAATTTTATAGCTTCACTAGCTTGGAAAAAAATTTACCTCTCCTCACCACCATTAGATTGAATGGTTTTATCATCATTTTCATAAGACACTCCTTTAAGCCAGCATCATACAGTCAAGGTTTTATTGTTTGAAAACTCAGAAGGGGGTGAATGACCTAGATATAGTGGGTATTTCTTAGTCTTACCAGGCAAATGAGGTTTTTAAAGCCTGGAAAATTCCACCCATGGGACTGGCAAATGAAAACCATTATACTATGCAAAAGAAAGGGCAGAGCACTAGGATGGGATGAGGGAAGATGGTAATTTTTTTTTCTTCTAATTTCTAATGGAAGGAGTGCTGTTCTTACCACATAGACTTTGCAGTTGTGACTTGCTGTGTTTGTGACATTTGCCTCCAACTGTTTTCATAGTGACTGGATTTCTCTTCCAACTTTGAGAAACTGGCAGTGATGTTCGCATGGACATAGAATTTTCTTACATAAACCTAGCAGAATCTAGTCAGAGAGGCCTTTTCTTCTTATTTGAAAAAAAGGCAGTGTGAGTTTGGGTAATGTTAAACCTAGTGCAGCCTTGATGCAATAGCTCAGTAAGTGAAATATGTTCATGCATTTCTAAATTTTGGGTAATGTCTAAAAAGCCACCTCAATACACTGAAAACACCATATCAAGAAATAAGGACAATACAATTGTAAAATATATGCACTAAGGAAAGCTGTGGAAACTTTTCTTGCAGATAAGCAGAGGAGACTTAAGCACAGTTTCAATGTCCAGTTACAACTGATGCGGCATCAAATGCAATGTTTACCATGGCTGACAATTTAGCATAAGTTTGTACATACTTCTGTTAACATTGCTCTAGATGTGGTACATCTCTCTGTATGTGCACACACAGTAGAGTCACACATATCCTTCTGAGATATACACAGTGCATGGAGATGTGTTGGTACAATATACACACCACACAACCCATGTTGGAACAGGCCATGAAATAAGTAGCATTTAATGTTTTCCCATGTTACCTGTGCTCCTTCCATCAAACAATCCCTGACAGGGATTGGCTCTCTTGAGCCATCTTGATATCTCAAATTAAGCAAAGCATCCTCAAGCACATCTACGAATGCATCTGGAAATAACTACAATGATATTTCTCAAAAAAAAAAAAAAATACAATCTATGTTATGTTTTGAATGTGCAGTGTGAGTGGTGAAGAGAAGTCAAAGTCCCATATGCCAGTACGTCATAGGTAATGAGTTTGCCAGTTAAGATTGTGAAGAACTGTCAGAGATCTCAAATACTGTAATGCTCAATCTCAGCCAAGTTGCAGTGCCATGGTGTATGAAATGAAATAAACATAGTGTAGAATTTCCATTCACACTCAATTTGTTTTCAACAAATAGCACAACTGCATTATCTCTGCCTTACTTTAAAACCTGAAGTACAAAAACACCCAAGTATCAGACATTACAAATTAGTATTTTGCCCAATACCTTTCTGGCAGCTCAAAAATACAGAAGTAGAAAAGTACAGATGCTATAAATGATCTATGCCTGCTACAAGAAAGAACATCCTAATTAAATGAAGTTTTTAATTCAATGAAAACCAGAATGTCATGCATGCTTTAGCTAAGCTTCCAAACAGAAGTGTTTGGGTATCATGGGAGTGCAGTGCATGAGTCAGAAAAGGCAGCCATCACTATGAACACCTCAGCTCCAACAGACATCTCTGCATACCCTTCGGGCTAACAAGAAGAAACCTACACATATGTATTGCTTTGACCTGCTCCCAGAAGCCAGTGCAGTGGTATTTGAATGGGCAAATACAGAAAAGATAAAAAGAATATATAAAATAGAAAACCATAGAGGGTGGAAGCAGATTGTGAATCGAGACAGTAGATTTGCATGGGTCAAAGAATATTCAGAACTACCACAATGAATACGTACTGTTTTTTTCAAATTTCCAAATGCATTAAAATACATGATGATTCATGAACTGTGTGAAGTTCAAGCTAATGGGGATTTAGGAGAACATCCCTAGGGACAGGTCATCCTCCGGTCAGGCTGGGTGAAGAGACCATTTGTGGCACAGATCATTTCTGCCAATGAGAAGCTGGCAAATGTGAAGCCTTCTCCAGTTGTTTTTGATATGTTTTATACATTGTTAGGAAAGAAAGTATCAGATCTCAACACTTTACAACTCCTTAAGTTAGTAAAGTGTCTTTTGATAGCATAAGATCAGATAACTTTGCATAGAGGGATTGTGAAAGGAAAAGAAAAAACACCTGATAACAAGACAGGCTTGTAGAGCATACTTTAGCACAAGATTCTAGGAGCCACCTGGAGGAAAATGAGAGTTTAAAATCTCAAATATAAATTGAATAGCGATGTATAGTCAGATGGGTAAGGGGTGAGTGAAAAGCAGTTTACAAATAGTATGACACTGTTTGACCATCCCTACTGTATATAGGGTAGCATGATGATAACAATTTTTAAAATTATTGATGTTGCTGATTAGGTAAAAAAGTTTAAAACTTCCTTTTCCTTTGGTGTTTGCATTCTGTACAGGCAAACCAAGTGTACTTTGGGATCTCTACTCACTTTTTTAGATATATAAGCTTAATAATGAACCAAGACTTTTTAGACTATTCTTGCAGAGTAAGTAAAGAAATATAATAATCAAGACAGCAAAGTAAGAAAATGGAGCTGTACATAATTGAGAAAATTCACCAACTCTCTCAGAATATCTGTGTGCATACTCCTACTGCCAGAACCCTGTAGGCTATTCATTGTTTAGGTTACACGGATCCACAGGTTTAGATCCTGGTAACTACTCAGGCCTTTCCTACATTTGTTTAGCTTTAGAACAGTGCCAGACTGATTTGCAGTTTACTTTTGTTGAAAGTGTGTTATGCAGGAGTAGGAAAAAGTGCTCCATGCACCATGGCCCCTGCCCTCAGATCTTCAGATCACACATCTCTCACTGCCTATACCAGTCAGAAGTAATAAACTTCTATCACAATTTCACACTGAAAAATCCAAACATATATTATAATGTATTTTGTTGCCTGTTCAGAGGTTGACAGTGATTGGGGTCTATTGTACAAAGCTTTCTCCAGACTACCCATTGGCTCCTGTCTGGCTATCGCTTTTGACTTTTTGGTCCTTTTCATATGGAGTCTAATCTTGTATTATTGCAATTAACAGAGACTGGTCTCTGAAAAGCCAGCTTTCAGTGCTGTGAGGAGAGTTAATGGGACTGGGCTGTTTGTCCGCCATCAGAATGATGCTTTCTGCTGTGTTTCTGACTTAATTTTCCTCAAAAGAGATGAAATATTACACAAGTGTACTTCCTAAAAGTAATTCAGTGTCATTGGTCTTGCGTTGTTCTTCTTCTGCAACCTATTACGTGTGCCTGTGTTCATAAATAATATATCCACTAGTGCATACATCTAAAATTTTTGTGTGCATGGGTTTAAAGCAAATACAGCAACATATAAAATACAAATTAAATTGATGCCCACTGTACTTGTAACACAGCCAAATTCTTATATTTTATAGTGCATATTCCATTAAATAAATAATAATTAATTGATCTATGCTACAATATGTGTGTACATACACATTTTATGATGCCTGTAAATAACATTTTAAAGCCTGTTCACACATCAAAAAACAGGTTGTTTATTTCTCTATTAGAACAATCCAAGGATTTAACTCTTCCTATTATGTAAACAGTGGTGACAGACGCTTTCAAGGAAGCTTAACTTCAATGAAAATAATAGTTTCCCATTTTAAAATCAATACTAATATACCATAAATCCCCCGATGAACTCTGGCTTCCTTACATGCTCTCACATTTTGTGTGTAGGGGCACAGCACTACTCTAGATATCAGAATATAATAATATGGCAATATATATAGATATAGATATATATTTAAATGGTAAAACAGTTTTAGGTCAACTTGAGTAATGAATATATTTCAAATATATGCTTCTTTCTATAAATAAAGGTAATTAATTTTCTTTGCAACATGGGTGCCTTTGTATGTGGCTAGAAAACCAGCAAAGCAATTCTGGTATCTTTAGTTCAAAATGCAATTGTGACATAGATGAAGTTTTAAGTTTTTTCTTGGTTGTACTAAAATTGTACTTGCAGTAGAGTTTCAATAAAATTTATGAGATTACTTTAGAGTAGACATTTTAAACAACTCATACAAAAGAGAATTTGTTTTAGTGATAAGAAAGCTAGGTATAATCTATTCATTTCTCAAGCAGACCTTTATGAATCACTTTAAAAGGACACTACAGCTGAAGACTGAAGAGCAATATTTATCAACATTAAATAAAACATTCGGTGAAATATGTATAAATATTTCTTTATATGAACATAACACAAAATTAAATAGTTCAGATACACAGACACCATTTAATATATTTCCACTGTTGTCAAAATCATCTGTAAACACCATCTCACACTGAATACAAAAGCAGCTTTAACATCAGTTCTGTGTTCACAACACTGATGCCCCTTTGTAAAATAAGATACTTGTTTTATTTTCAGCAAAATAAGTCTAAGCAATAAAAAAAAAAAAGTTTTGGTCAGCTCAAAGGAGAATACAAAATAATCTTTCAACATGTAACTAAATCAGATTTAGAGCAACAGTTTAAAGTACAATCCTTTCCCCAGGGGACCTCTGACTTTTACAAATCATATTTGGTGCAGACCACCTCACAAATACCAGGAAATACTGGTCATGTCTAAACTATAAATATTAAAGCCCTTTTAAAATTGTCTTTATCAAAAATTGCCAGGTTACAAATTGGCAATATCACATTTTTCACACCACTGAATGACCTGGTGTCAAACGGATTTAGGAGCACTTCTCCTGATGATTTTTAAAACAGGTTGTGGAAAACAAACATGTTTTAGTGAGCATCCTTCACATGCAAAAATAAACCATTTCTTTGAAACAAATCATTTGCATCTGAAGATCACCTGGGCAGACAGTGCAAGCAGCAGGGCTCCACCAACTTTTGTCAGAAAATTGCAACTTGAACTTTCATCAGAAGCCGTAGCAATACTACACACAGGATCTGAGCTGGCTCTGAGAAGAGTGGTGCATCCCCACGGTGCAGCTCAGGACAAGGTGTTGCAGGAGCCATGTGTGCTTCGACAGCAGCACAGCCCCCCCAGCAGGACACAGGGCTGCTGCTGATGGTTGCACCTACCTGGCTCCTGAGCAGCTCCCTTTGAGCATTGGTACTGTGCATCCCAGATCTGGCTTCTCATCATTCTATGCCCTGCCAAGACATCTTCACGCTCTTCCCTGAATGTAACCTTCAATTCCTTTCCCCTTTGTATCTTTTAAAAAGGAATGATCACTTTGAAAAGAGATTCTGTGCTCAAGATTAAGGTTTTACTGTGCAAGTACCCAATTATAAAACTCTGTAAACTCACAGGCTATGTTTTGGTTTTCTTAGTTTGAAATGTGGACACTGTGTTTTGGTTCCAGAGATAAAGTTGAATTTCTGGCGGCAAATAATGAGCTACATACTTATAACGTGATTTTCAGACATTTAAAAAGTTTCAATCACATGTAATCATGATGGAGGGCCCTGTAAAACCTAGAACAATAGGCCACCTCTTTCCTGGTATGTGTGTATGTCAGAGGTGTGAATGTATGCTATGCATGCATACACACTCACACACACACATATAACATCAGCTGCACACATAGATACTCAGAAATCAGGAATCACGGGTACAATTAGCAATATATCAGAAGAGAAGTAGACAGGAAGCTCTACCAGGACAACAAGAGGTAATTTTTCAACCTATACAGTATGTCAAATAATTTCATAATCCTGTTTCACTAGCTTTGCTATATCTGTATGTAACTTGAATTGAAAGTTGTTGGATTCCTTGGAAAAAGAAGAGTTGGGCTAGCTAAATGTGCTTACCTGAGATCCCAGAGTTGATTATAATCAAAGAGCTGGGCAGATCAGTAATGTGTTTATAATTGCTATACAGCTTCTCACAAATTTGTAGGAAAACTTTATTAAATCTTTCACTCCTTAATAAAAATGTTGAAGTTTCTTAGTTTTTGCTGAATGTGGATTGACTTTTATATTAAACTGGATTTATTGAAAGGATAAATAAGCCTGGCAGCTGCTTTCATGTCTTGGTGTTTAAATCATAGAATCAGCACCCTAGAACCACCTTCCTGCCCCAACCCATCCTGTCTCATTCCTTACTATCTTGCCCATCCTGCCCTGTTCCGTGCCATCCTGTTCTGTCCTATCCCATCCCATGACATCCCTGCTTCGTTATTTTTTTATTTGTTTAAAAAATACTATTCTATGAAGCCTCCCTAGGGATCCGCTTATGAAAAATGACGGACTGCCTTTGCTGATACTGCTGTTTGCGTCGCTTTCGCTTGTCACACTGGCACAGCAGCAGCATCTTGAAAGTGTTTCTGAATGTTTTGTTACACAGTGCATAGCACATGGGGTTCACTGTGCTATTGATGTAGCAAAGCCAATACCCCAGGTGCCAGAAAGTTTTGGGGATACAGCTGCAAAAGGTGTTCACCAGAACCATGATGTTATACGGGGTCCAGGTAATGATGAAGGCAAACAAAATGGCACTGAGTGTCTGTGCTGCTTTCTTTTCTTTGATAAGTGACATTCGTTTTCGTTTTGTGATCTGACTTCTGGTCTTCAAGGCAAACTTTTTTGCCAGGGTTGCTTCCTTAAAGGATAAGGGCAGGGCTGTCGATGTCTTGGTGACTGATGAGATGCCATCAGAAGCTGTGGTTGTCTCTTCTGATTCTGGTTCATTTGGAAGCTTAGTAAAGCTCTTTTGGAAATTTCCACCATCCTGAACACCTTTGGGAGGGTGCAATTTTTTAGTTTTCTTTTCCTTCGATTCTGTGTCAGATTTCTGCAGTTCATCCCCTGACTCATGCAAATCTTCCGAGGAGGGTAGTTTTGTGGAATTGAGGATAGCACTGTGACCAGGAAGCTTCAACACGATTGAATAGATGGCTCTGGTCTCTGCAGCAATGTCTTCTTCATCAGAGGAGGCTGAATTTTCAAGGGAGGCAGCAGCATCATTGTTGTTCCAACTGTCACTGCTGCTATGCTCTTGGTCCCCCTGATCTGTGCTGGGCTCCCAGCTCTTCATTGTGAGCCAGAAGTGGCAGCGTCTGTATTTCTTTCGGGCGGAGCGTTTCATGTTCTGCCGCTGCAGCTCGTAGCTGCTGCAGCTCCGGGAGCTGCCTGTCTGGTGCACGAAGCGCGCTGCCTCTGCTTCGCTGCCCGAAGCCTGTAGCCCTGCCAGCTCTTTGGTGCGTTTCTCCGTCTCCTTGTAGATCCTCCAATACAAAATACTCATAATGGTGACCGGCAAATAAAAGGCAGCGATGGCAGTGCCAAAAGTGATGATAGGTTCAGTTAGAAACTGGATGAAACATTCATCAGGAGGCACAGTCCTCTCCCCAACGAAATACTGCCAAAACAAGATGGCAGGAGCCCAAAGAACAAAAGAGACAATCCATGCTAAACCAATCATTACCCCAGCCCTTTTGGTTGTTCGTTTGGCTCTGTATGTCAGTGGCCTAGTGATGGAAAAATACCTGTCAAAACTTATCACAAGGAGGTTCATGACAGAGGCATTACTGGCGACATAGTCAATGGAGAGCCAAAGATCACAGGCCAAGCTTCCCAAAGCCCAGTGGTCCATGATGATGTATGTAGTATAAAGATTCATGGAAAGAACACCGATGATCAAGTCTGCACAAGCAAGGCTCAACAAGAAGTAGTTGTTGACTGTTTTCAGTTGTTTGTTGACCTTAAATGCAACAATCACTAAGATGTTTCCTATGATGGTCACCAGTGCAAGGATCCCAGTGAGGAAAGCAATCAAAACTACTTGCCAGATAGTGTGTCCACCCAGAGGGTCTTTGCTTGTGGCATTTAGGGTCATGTTTGTTGATTCCAAAGTGGAGAAAGGAAAACTCTCTGTGGTCTGAGGGAAATCATAGCTGCCAATGAGTGATGCTGCTTCATCAAGGAGTCCTGGTCCATGTGAATCTCTCTTCCAGAAGGAGCTCACATTTGGTAAAAGCAGCGAGGATGAACTGTTGTTATGCATGATCATTGTGGCTCTCTGACATAATCTGTAGCAGAGAAAAACCAAACAAAAATCAAGTGAACAGGTGAAGAAGTTAAATAATTGTCCTCTTACTTGTACATAAAATCCCTTTAGCACTTTGAAAGATGTCTTTTGAAAAGCCAAGCTGCCTGTGACACATTTTATGTCAAACCTGTATGTGACATCCAGACTGTGATTAATCTGAACTCTTTATAGTGATCACATTGTGTTTCCGTATAAACATTCAAATACAGAGGAACCAAAATCCCAGTAGAATTTGAATGCACAGCAGTATTAAAATGCCCCTGAACTTGAACTCTGAATTAAAACACGCCCTGCAGGATCTATCTTGAACCCAAAATCTCAAAAATCCTGCAGCCTTGGAAAGTTAAGTTCCAATCAGATGAAGCCACAAATCTTCCAAGTTCCAATCAACACTGGCCCCCAGTGCTATCCTGGCTCTAGCAAAGCACAGCCACAGCCTCTCTGCTGTCTCCAGTGATAGCCGATGGTAAACAAAAATATTGTTCCGTGTTTCCTTAAAGTATGGAGATACAAGCCAGCATAATTTCACTGTGTCAAGCTACTCTAACCTGTGAGGCTGCAAAACTCTTCCCATTTTCATCTACCTTTCAGCTATCTGAATAAAAGTAGTAAAAGTTCTCATTAGCACTTTTTGCATGTGCCACTATTCATTTTTTTCATCCATATTTTTATGCTTGGAATAAGGTTTTTGCACATCTAATGACTTAAAAATTTCTTTGGGGCAACACATGGTAAAAGTTCCTTTGAAATTATGGTCTCTAGAGTCAGGAAAAAAATCTTTGACAGATGTATGTCAAAGAAATCACTAAACACTTTAGGAAAATAGCAGAAAAAAGCATGAAAGGAATTCATAATTAAGCTTTAATCCTTTTCCCCAAGTACTAACAGAAAATGAAAACATTCTCAGACTAGGAACTTGCAATTCTTTTATTTCTTAGCTTCTCTAGTCAGCTGACTGGATCTTAGTAATAAATTAATTATATCATCAAGAAGAAAAAATTCAAATAAAAAAGTCCATAATTGACTGTAAATGTTGAGCAAAATATGCTGTCAATAGTTGTTTGTTTTCTAAATGTGAGTCCTTCCAGAGTCAATATATAATGGCATGAGATAATAATGAGTATCACAATACAGTGATTTTACATAAAAATATTTAACCAAAAGAGGAGTGTTTGGTTATGTTTTTTCTAATTACTTTCTAAATTCTGCTTTCCCTTGAACTGTACTTGTTTTTGTTTATGTATGAAGACATAAGACAGTGTGGGATTTTAAATGGTACAGTTTCTTTGACATACACAGTAAATAGATCAGCAATTCCTTTCCTTTGCTCATGTTGGATAACAACCACAAACCTCTCCCCTATTTCGATATCTAGTGTAAATGAGGTTTTATTAGGTTACAATGAAGATGCCATATTATTATCTAATTCAGTCCACTTTTAATGCATTCATCATTGTATAACTCAGAATATGAACACAATAATAATGAATAAATATTGCTCTGGTAAATCTCATAGTTAAATTTTAAGTCTTTTTCCTGATAGAATGATTGAAAACTCAATGCAGCCCAACTTCTGAAAAAAAAAAACCAAAAAAACCATCCTCCTTGCAATGTTTTATTTAGGAAGCAGGCATTTTTTTCTAGAGCTGTCAGACAGGATGAGGTCAAAATCAGAATAGTATGAGAGAGGTCTCAAATAATGATATTTGCTAAATATATGCCAGAAATTATTAATGTTATAGGGTGCAGACCTTTCTTCACTCACACTGGGGACAGAGAGCAGAAGATGAAAGCCAGAAAGCATTTGCTCTGCAGCCATAAATTTCTAAAACCTCTGTAGGGCAACAGCCAATCCAGTCACATATTGGTTGAAAACTCTGACAGATACATTTAGATGGCAATGATATCATTATGCTGCTTTTTCATAAAGAAAAGAGAAGCTAGTATCTTCTAACACACAAGAAAAGATCAGGAAGAATATATCAATAAAGGAGATGAAACTTCCACAAAAATGGATAGAAAAAAAATCACTTAGAAGTGATAGTAAAAAATAATGGTATTACTAAGAAATAAAAATAGTTAACAGTTAGGTAGTAGTTCCCATTTCCATTGTATAACACAACCATGAACTAATCTGAGTGTTAGCCTTGGAACTCCAAAACAAATACCATAAGAGATAAGAGATACAAATATGTATACAAAAATGCAAAATTAATATGTGAATGGCACACTATCTATCAGTAAATCCATAAAACAATTGTGAATTCTATTTAACTGTAGACTTTGAAATGGACTACCAATGGAAATGCAATGATAAATCCTTTCAGAAATGCTATGATTCAAAAGACTCGTGATGAGGAGTCCTGGGATCATCACAATTCAGCTGCAGTCTTTCAGACACTGAAGAAGCGTTGGAACCAAACCTTTCTTTCTCCGATCAGTTCTTTCATGTCTGGACTTCAAATCCAGTCATTGTTTCAATGAAAACCTGAACAGTCCTTAGCAGTCCAGTAACTGAGGAAAAGGAGAACCTGAGAACAACCCACCATCTCTCTCCTGCTGTCCAGTGCAATCCTGCATCTGCAATTTGGTTTTTTAAATTCTGCAGGGAATAGAGGGAACCCTAAACTCACACTGACTGCACTATTTGATAAAATGGAAGTGCCAGTGGGATGATGAGTACAGTCTTTTGTTATTCTGCCTCTTCTACAAGATCCTGTAACTGAATCATTTAATTCAATTAAAAAATGTATTATCCATATGTTCATTTGCACATAAAAAAGAAAATGTCACTACCACTACCACCACCACTACAACATACCAGATCAGCACAACTGGATTTTCTTGACTTTAGGAAACCAAGGCAAGCTACATTATCCATCATTTTCCAAAGCTGCCATGCAGTTTCTGCTTTCTGTATAAGTGCTGCAGGGAAAGAGTGTCCTGGGTTTGACAAGATGACAGCGGGATTCGCAGTGCAGCCGCCAGCACCTGCCCAGCAAGCCAAACTCTGACAGAATGATGTGTGACCAAGTGGGAAAGCAGCCACACATACTTCAGTAAAACAAACAGTGCAGCGCTGCCTGAGTGAGGCAAACATACCAAACTGTGAAATGATTATAGGTTTACATACCATGATAAGAATTTACAAATCATTGGTATGATACACTACATTACAATTTCAAGGCAGGGAGTAGCAAAGGAAACTTCTTTTAGCCTAAGAATATATAATTACTTACCTAAGATCATAGTAATGGTATTCCCTGTGGGTTTGAGTCTTTTTGTTCTTTTTGCTTTTTAATGAAAGGTACAGGCCAGAGATCATCAGACACAGTGTACACTTCCCAGAATTATTCAGGAAAAGTGTAGGCCCAGTACAGGCAATGGCTATATAGACTCTCATACTCATCCATCCAGCACACCCCTGCTTTCTGCCCAGCCACAGGGAGTGAGATATTTGATATCCCACTAAGACTGACTGGAAGGGTAGGAGAAAGCATCTACAAAAATGTTAAATGATTTCAATAAATGGGTATAACCCAGATTTAAAAGCCTGGAATTTTGACTAGTCTAATTTATTGCACATTGCTGTAAATAGAAAGCAAAATAGAATAAACAGTAGTAACAGTTCTGTCACAAAATTTCAGTGCATTTAATTTCTCTCTGCTTATTTCAGATTTAAATGCTTTTGTGAATACTCCACATTTTACCAAAATTTTTCTTTTCTTTAAACCCTCCTATTCAAGAAGTCTATTTTTCTTGCTGTCTTTAAAGGGCTCTAAGAAGCATTTTCTGGGAAGTGAGATGGCAATCTAAGGGCTTGGCTATCTGTGAGCTCCAAACTAGTAAGCCTTTACGGACAAAGAATTTCACATTGCATCTGTTCACACAGACAAAAAAAAATTGCTTACCTTATTTTTCCATTTTCTTCTGCACTGCTCTTATATACATCTTAGCCTAAACAGTAGAGAGCTTCATGCATTGATTTATAAAAGTCTTTTCAAACACAGAGAAAGGAAGCCTTCAGAATGCTTAATACAGTTACCTAAACTGGCACATACACTTTGTTTCAAAATTATTATTTGGTAAAATAAAAACATACATTTGAATTACAAGGTTTTCCTAATATAATTAGCAAGATTATATATAACAATTTTTCAAAACACAGAGAGTTGGGTTTTTTTTCCCTGCAAAATATGGTGAATTTTTTTCAAAATACAATAAAGAATTTTAAAAAGCTTGTAATAAAAATGAGAGGATTCACAGTTCTATATTTATAGTAGCTCATACCAATTGAAGTTAGTGTAGCACAAAATACAGGATTCCATATGAATGCTTACGTAGCAACAGGAAGCATGGTGTAATTATCAGTGAACACGACCTCAGATTTACCATGACTAAATTACACTTATATTAAATACGTTACATGACATATATTTTAGATTTGAAGAATGAGAATACAGAACCATAGAAATCAAGCATACCAGAAAAAATCCTGGCCACTGTCTTGCACATTCACAGTAGATAAAAACAGATTGTCATATACTTATATGTATATGTACATATACACATAAGTATATCTACATACAAATGTATATTACATATAGTGTGATATGTATATAGAGCTGCAGATGAAAGTATATGTGTATATACATACTTATGATATATACACACATATATCTGCAGCTATATATACACATAATTTTGTCACATTATTCCAAATATTGTTATAAAGGAAGACTAAATCTTTCACTAATTAGCTATCGACTTGATACAAATAATGTTCAGTCAAATCCCAGTAACACTTCAACCCAAACTCTTCCTTTTTGCATCCATAAATATATTTTGTTTTCTAAATTCACCCAAATTAAATGCCAGTGTTTTAAAATCACTTTTGTGATTAATGAATTAGATTTGCTCATTATTTGCTTACTTTATTTGTGCTGCTAGTGTGAATTATAGCATGGGCAAATTAGGAAC